CCAACAGTACCAGATAAGAATCTACCATTCAGTATATTGATTAGCAGCCAGCAGGGCTGACGTTTCAAATTTAGGCACTCTGATTCCAACCCCCCAAAAAAAAAATCGACTCTGAAGGCACTTCGGCCAGAAATCAAGCACTCTGATTGGTCAGTGTTCTGAAGTCAGCCTGTCTGACAAGTCAGTGTCGGTGGGTCCGCATCAGGATTAGTCCTCATGCCTGCCGCTGACAGGCCCATGTCGGTGGCATTCTGGATTGGCTGGTGTGAATGGCGTGTGACTCGGCAGATTGTTGCAGCAGGCAGCGCGCGATTGTTGTGTATGTACAGTTCCTGGCACAGTGAGACCTACCTTGCTTGCAAGTGCCAACTGGCCGAGCTGCTGCAAAGATGAGCTGGCAGTAGGCACGAACTGTTACTTGGTGGCGCGCCTGGCAGTACCTTCAACCTACGAAACAGTGACGACATCACACGTTTGGGCGTAGAGAACACCCGATTTCAATACCAAAAAGTGCAATATCCTACCCGTGGCGAGATATCCACCCCCCCCCCCCCCCCCCCCCCCCTCCCCCCTCCCCCCGATTGGCTGTAAAGTTCTCCGATTCGTTGAGCAATTCGCTAGAAAAGGTATTTTGGCCCTTTTCTATTTCACACTTCAACGGTTACCCCGATCACGCAACAATCTAAAATGCGTGTCTTTGTCGCAGATAGGGTGTATTCGGTATCCCCAGCTGGTGATGTGTACTTTGCTCGCGTGGTAGCACTCTCTGCCCATTCGAAGGTGGGTATATCGGGAAGAAAGTTCCAGGAAACTTCGTCTCGATAACCTCGGGTTCCGAAGACCACAGAATGTATACTCTGTAGAGTCAGACTCCAGAAATGATTAAGTCTGAAGCCTATTACATGGAATCAGGGGCCCCAAAACAATACCGTCTCCCCCCGGATATAAGCGCCACCCTAGGATAAGCGCCTGGCGCTTCTAATTGGCATATGGCGCTTATATCCCCTCCTCGATTATAAGCGCACCCCTTGAAAAAACTTGTTTTATTATAAGCGCACGTAAACTTTAAAATTTGAAATGTGTTCAAAAAGCTGTAACGATTTTTACTTTAGCAGGCGGATATGTTGCAGATTCGGTTCCCTTCACATTCGGACCCTGCACTGGATGCGGGTCCAGTCAGCAGGACCTATCAGGAGCTGGATGTGAGTCAGATTGGGTGTATCTCCCAGCGCGCGCAAGAATTTCACAGACGATCCCATGTAACTTCGACTCGATTGAAAAGGCAAGCACGAGACCTACAGTTTGGTGTTAAAAGATATAAAAAAAATATGTATGTCATTTTATAAACGCCGGCGCTTATAAATTTACTCGATTATAAGCCCACCCCCATGAAAAAACCTGTTTTATTATTGCCCCCCATGGGGGTATATCCGGGGGGATACGGTAAGTCTGAGGCACTCAGTGATGAAAAATGGATTACTCTGGAAATACATTTTCCACCAAGTGCAAGGTCTGATTCGTCAGACTAATCAGACTAAATAGTCTGATAGCGTCAGCCCTGGCAGCCAGCACAAATGGCTGTCTCAAGGGAAAAGATTGGAACTTCAAGAAGTTAAATGCGCTTATACACCACCAGGTAGAATGGAGTCCCTGTTTAATAACCTTGGTTTGATGTGGCAATGCTATGAAGAGGATACCACCGCCGAACAATGGCCGCTGTTACCTTGTGGTCAGCCCGGCCAAATGCCTGAAACCAGTCAAGCAAATGAAGCAGCGCAAGAAAAATGGTGTAAATAAGAAAGAAACGATGTTTCTAGAGAGGATGAATCTAGCAGACCCACTTGTCAGCAGCGGCATTGAACCTAGCGCACCTGTGAGAAGCCGTAGATGGTAATTTGCTTCTTTGCCGCATCGTGGTTGATCCGACCGCCACCTACAGCCTCCACCTGCCCATGCAGAGCACAAGATAGGCAGAATGCATGCACGCCTTGCATTGGATCGGAGGCCCCCATTGAGGCTTTCAGACAATGGCGTGCACACTGGTGCACACGGCTTCCAGAAAGCAGCACGCTTGTGAAGGCACAGAGCACTGCGAAGAAACTTGGAACCATGTGAGGGCAGACCTGTCACCTTTGCAGTACAGTTACCACGGGGTTGCCAGGGGTACGACGAGAGACTTGGAAACATGCCTGGGTGAATGAGGACCCAGCATTATCCCAGTCGCAGTACCACATATAGTTGCTTCAGAAACGGTGGCTTGAGGCCACGAGGCGCATGAACTGACTCTAGATGCACCTCAATACCTGAAACTAGCCAAGGCGAACGGCTAAATCCTGCAGTACCCATACGGTTTCTTCGCGTCAACAGCCCTACCTTGAGGCCCAGGGACGCCATGAAGCAACTCTGAGTGTGCCTCGAAACTCAGAGCGATGCTAGGGCGAACGGCTTATGCCTTAACAACCTGAAACACACCTCATTCCTCGAATCGCACTACCTTGAGCCACAGGGGCGCCATGAAGCGTACCTTGAGGCCCAGGGGCGCCATGAAGCGTACCTTGAGGCCCAGGGGCGTCATGAAGCGTGCTGTGTGCTGCAGCACATCGTTGTGGAAAGGCGCCCTCTTGTCCCCCCGCACTATCTGAAGGGAGAGGGTAAAGAGTGGAGTGGGGAGAGGAGGGAATAAGAGGGAGGACAGGAGGAGAGGAAGAGAGGCCATGAAGCGTGCTGTGTGGTGCAGGTCATCGTTGTGCTATCTGCGCGGAGGAGACAGCGGAGAGGGAGGAAGAGATGAGAGGAAGGATGGGAGGCAAGAGGAAGGAGTGGGGGAGAGAAGGGAGAAGGTGGAGAAGATGAGGGAAGGAAGCTTGAAGGGTGGGCAAAAGCGAGTGAGTCAGGAAGAATAGTAGGGAGCAGAGGCGATAGGAGGGGGGGTGAAAGAGTGAGAGGCGGCTTACTCACAAGCTTCACCCTGGCTGGCGCACCGGCTACTGTCCATGTAGGCAGCACCACCATGGGTGCGGCATGGGTATGGCATGGGTACGGCATGGGTACGGCATGGGTACGGCATGGGTACAGCATGGGTACGGCATGCGTGTACCATGGGTCGATTCACACTTCCTCAAATGCACCCCCTTATACCTGGAAACACTCCTCTCTGACTCGCCTTGCAAGAGGCGGCAATGCATTGGTTACCAGCTTGACAGAAATTCAACCACCAGTTTTGAAGAATTGCTAGGCCAGCTTGTTACAAATGGTTACGGGGTTCTAGGATGGTTGAGGACGGCTGAGGACGGTTGAGAATGGTTCAGGATGGTTCAACTTCTTACCAGCTTGGAGCGGCCTTGCTCTGGTGACTTGAGGCGAATGAGAACATACTTGAAGATGCCTGGAGGGATGGCAGAGGGTGATGTGGAAGGGGGTGATGTGGAAGGGAGTGATGTGGAAGGGGGTGTTGTGGAAGGGGGTGTTGTGGAAGGGGGTGTTGTGGAAGGGGTTGATGTGGAAGGGGGTGATGTGGAAGGGGCTGATGTGGAAGGGAGTGATGTGGAAGGGAGTGATGTGGAAGGGGGTGTTGTGGAAGGGGGTGTTGTGGGAGGGGTTGATGTGGAAGGGGGTGATGTGGAAGGGGGTGATGTGGAAGGGAGTGATATGGAAGGGGGTGTTGTGGAAGGGGGTGTTGTGGAAGGGGGTGTTGTGGAAGGGGGTGTTGTGGAAGGGGGTGTTGTGGAAGGGGGTGTTGTGGAAGGGGGTGTTGTGGAAGGGGGTGTTGTGGAAGGGGGTGTTGTGGAAGGGGGTGCTGTGGAAGGGGGTGTTGTGGAAGGGGGTGTTGTGGAAGGGGGTGTTGTGGAAGGGGGTGTTGTGGAAGGGGGTGATGTGGAAGGGGGTGATGTGGAAGGGGGTGATGTGGAAGGGGGTGATGTGGAAGGGGGTGATGTGGAAGGGAGTGATGTGGAAGGGGGTGATGTGGAAGGGAGTGATGTGGAAGGGAGTGATGTGGAAGGGAGTGATGTGGAAGGGGGTGTTGTGGAAGGGGGTGTTGTGGAAGGGGGTGTTGTGGAAGGGGGTGTTGTGGAAGGGGGTGTTGTGGAAAGGGGTGTTGTAGAAGGGGGTGTTGTGGAAGGGGGTGTTGTGGAAGGGGGTGTTGTGGAAGGGGGTGATGTGGAAGGGGGTGTTGTAGAAGGGGGTGTTATGGAAGGGGGTGTTGTGGAAGGGGGTGATGTGGAAGGGGGTGATGTGGAAGGGGGTGATGTGGAAGGGAGTGATGTGGAAGGGGGTGATGTGGAAGGGGGTGTTGTGGAAGGGGGAGATGTGGAAGGGGGTGTTGTGGAAGGGGGTGTTGTGGAAGGGGGTGAGATGGAAGGGGGTGATGTGGAAGGGAGTGTTGTGGAAGGGGGTGTTGTGGAAGGGGGTGTTGTGGAAGGGGGTGTTGTGGAAGGGGGTGTTGTGGAAGGGGGTGTTGTGGAAGGGGGTGTTGTGGAAGGGGGTGTTGTGGAAGGGGGTGTTGTGGAAGGGGGTGTGTTGTGGAAGGGGGTGTAGTGGAAGGGGGTGTTGTGGAAGGGGGTGTTGTGGAAGGGGGTGTTGTGGAAGGGGGTGTTGTGGAAGGGGGTGATGTGGAAGGGGGTGATGTGGAAGGGGGTGTTGTGGAAGGGGGTGTTGTGTTGACAGAGGGCGAATGTATTGCGGGAGTAAGAGCATGGTGACAGAAGCCATGGGTGCCGTGCTGCAAACAAGGCACCGTGTCGTAATGGCGGTGTGTAATGAACATACTTGAATATGTCTGGAGGCGATTGAGGGGGGTGCTTGGTATGGCCGGGGGTGGTTGGTATGGAAGGGGGTGAAATGGAAGAGGGTGAGATGGAAGGGGGTGAGATGGAAGGGGGTGAGATGGAAGGGGGTGAAATGGAAGAGGGTGAGATGGAAGGGGGTGAGATGGAAGGGGGTGAGACGGAAGGGGGTGGGATGGAAGGGGGTGAGACGGAAGGGGGTGTCGTGGCAGTCATTCACTCTGTTGAATGATGCAGCCATGAAAGCACGGCTGGCTGGCAGAGGGCGAGTGTGGAGTAGGAGCAAGGGCACGATGACAGCAGGCATGGGTGGTGCGGACAAGGGATCTTGGTGGTGTGTGGCACGATGTCCAAGTGTGCAATATCCACGTCACCTGTGCCAATATCCACGTCACCTGTGCCAATATCCACGTCACCTGTGTCAATATCCACGTCACCTGTGTCAATGTCCACGTCAGGCACCCTTTCTCCAGGCCAGTCCCCATCCTCCACACCCTCCTTCCCCTCCACTCCCTCCCCACCCACCCCTCCCCCATCCCCCATGGCCCACCCCGCCAGCAGCGAGTGGGCGATGGCATGGGGGCCAGGGACGGCAACAGCAGAGCGGGGGAGAGGGGGAAAGGCCCACGTGGCGCCAGACGGCTGTGCGGGCGGTGCAGGGGTGGCTGAGGGAGAGATGTGTAGAGGAAGAGAGAAGGGGCGAGAGAAGAGGTTACAAGACTTGAGGGGTAATGGCAAGGAAGGGCAAGGGATTCAAGGAGACACTTTCTAGTTAACAAATTAGAAGGGGATCGAAAGGAGGAAGAGCTGGAGGAGGAATGAGGGAGGTGAGGGGTGAAGAAGAAGGGGAGGTGGGGGTGAAGAAGGGGTGGTGAGGAGTGAAGAAGAAGGGGAGGTGGGGGTGAAGAAGAAGGGGAGGTGGGGGTGAAGAAGAAGGGGTGGTGAGGAGTGAAGAAGAAGGGGAGGTGGGGGTGAAGAAGAAGGGGAGGTGGGGTTAATGGTGGCAAAAGATGCTGTTTAAAAAATGTGGTGGGTGGGTGGTTCCAAGCCGATGTTGGCTCAAGCACAGTGGAAAATGGTGTGGCCCGTGTGATTGAACAAGCAAGCGTCAGGCTGCATCTTGCCAACTCTGCTCTGCTCTGCTCCTTCACGAGAGGCAAAACGTTGCTCCTGCTAGAGCCAGAGACGTTGTGACTCAATCTGACTCTGTGTTTTTGGCGATTTTAAAATAAGGCCTGGTTCGAGATAGATGTTGGGATTGAATTCGTCTCACCAGCAGGCGGCGGCTGCAGCCAGGTGTTGCATGAGGAGTCGCTGAGGAGCGCTCTAATGAAGTCCCGGTGGAACCAGCGTGCATCCTGATGGGGGGGAGGGGAGGGATGACGGAAGGACGGCAGAGGGAGTACGCAGATGAAAAAGGAAGAGGAAAGAGGAAGAGGAAAGAGGAAGAGGAAAGAGGAAGAGGAAAGAGGAAGAGGAAAGAGGAAAGAGGAAGAGAAAAGAGGAAGAGGAAAGAGGAAGAGGAAAGAGGAAGAGGAAAGAGGAAGAGGAGAGGAAGAGGAAAGAGGAAAGAGGAAGAGGAAAGAGGAAGAGGAAAGAGGAAGAGGAAAGAGGAAGAGGAAAGAGGAAGAGGAAAGAGGAAGAGGAAAGAGGAAGAGGAAAGAGGAAGAGGAAAGAGGAAGAGGAAAGAGGAAGAGGAAAGAGGAAGAGGAAAGAGGAAGAGGAAAGAGGAAGAGGAAAGAGGACGAGGAAAGAGGAAAGGAAAAGAGGAAGAGGAAAGAGGAAGAGGAAAGAGCAAGAGGGAGTAGGAGGATCAGAGGGCCGGACGGCCAAGCGTGCGCAGTGTGCACGACATGCAGGTGCAGCTGCTGCCACGACATGCAGGTGCAGCGCCCCTTCCCTCCCCTGTGAGCCCATAGTCCGGCTGCGACAGGGCCATGGCAGACAGGCGGGCTAGACAGTTGGAGGGTTGGATGTTGGGCCTCCGTGCCTCACCTCCAGCTCGTTGGTGTCGGTGCGCACCACAGGCAGCTGCTGCCACGGCACCAGGGCCGCGCCCCTCTCCTCCCCTGTCAGCCCGTAGTCCGGCTGTGACAGGGCCATGGCAGGTGGGCCGGAGGGCAGGGCTTGCGCTGTGAAGGCGACCATTAGGGAGGAGGGGAAGGGCCATGGCTGGCTCGCGTGGTATCTGATAAGAAGGGTGGGAGAGAGACGGGAAGTAATAACAAATTTGGAGAGTTTAGTGCTTGCTCTGTAAATGCAACCAGAAGAGAGAAGAGGAAGGGCCATGGCTGGCTGACGTGGAAACCTTCGAACACTTACGACATGCTGCTCTTGGGAACCCCGACATCTGCCAACACATCCACACCCTCACCAACACATCCACACCCTCACCAACACATCCACACCCTCACCAACACATCCACACCCTCACCAACACGGCCCTCCCTGGCCGCCTATGCCCTGAGGCCTCGTCGCTGCTTACGTCCTCCCGTGTGGTAGCATTCGCCACCAGGAGGGGGAATCCGCCCCATTGCCACCAGGAGGGGGAATCCGCCCCATTGCCGTCGGCGAATGTCTGCCCCATCTAACTGCAAAGTGCACACTTTACCTGACGGCCACTACGGCCCGCGACTTTTTCACCCCGTACCAACTCGGCGTGGCGGTCCCGGGGGGTACAGAAGCGGCCATACACATGGTGCGCATTTACCTGGAGGAGAACCCCACTGCAACCGCACCTAAGATGGACACAGCGAACGCCTTCAACGCCATCGAAAGAGCAGCCTGTTTTCCAAGGCATGCGCTCAACCCCACTCGCCCCCCCCCTCCCGTTCGCCCGTCTCACATACGGCTGTGCGTCCACCCTGCAAGTGACGCGGGGTTCAAAGTTCAATGCAGCATGGCCAACCAGCGCAAGGGGAGCTCGCCAGGGCGACCCAATGGGGCCACTGCTCTTGGCGGCCTTTGAGTCGACTCAAAAGAAGGGGAGTTCGCCAGGGCGACCCAATGGGGCCACTGCTCTTGGCGGCCTTTGAGTCGACTCAAAAGAAGGGGAGTTCGCCAGGGCGACCCAATGGGGCCACTGCTCTTGGCGGCCGGCATCCAGCGCTCCCTCATCATCGCCACTGCCGCTGCATTCCCCAGCGCCGTCATCATCACCTACGCGGACGACGTCACCTTCCTCGGTTCCGCGCCCGACTGCACCTCCGCCTTCACCCACCTCATGGCCGACCTTGTACCCAATCGGCCTGGCCCACAACCCTGCGATATGCTCGGCCTGGTCGCCAGGCCCCATGGACGGCGCCGACCTCCCCACCGGGATGTGCTACAACCGCGCTGGGCTGCGGGTCCTCGGCAGCCCCATCAAGACAGCCCACGACTGTGCCACGCAACTGCGGGAAACGCTTGACGCGCAAGTGCTCCGCTGCCCCTAGTGGCCCACATGGATCCACAACTCTCCCTCCTCCTACTCGCCCGCTGCATCAGCCGGAGAGCCTCCTTCCTTGCCCGCACCACCCCCCTGCCCACCTGCCCACCTGCCCACCGCTGAATGGTCTGCGTGGGGAGAAAGCTTCCTACACACCTTGCTTGGTGCGGCGCACATCTCCAAGGCGCGGGCAGCAGCGGAGAAAATGCGGATGTGGAACCAGACCAGACCAGACCAGACCAGACCAGCCTCCCCTCCCCACCACTTCAGGCCGCGTGGGACTCACCAATCCAAGCACGGAAGCCTCCTACACATACCTGGCGTCGGCCATGGCAACTGCCCACCTCCTGCGCTCCCTTGGGTCGAAGGTGCATCAGGAGGTGGCCAAACTGGCGCCACTGCTGGACGCTGAGCCTGCAAACCCAGCTGCTCTGTCCCAACGCCTGGCTGACGCGGAGGCCTGCCTACCACCATCTACGCCTACCACCTTCTGCAGCGGCTGTGATGAAGCGAGAAGGGCGCGAGAAGGGCGAAGGGCTGAAACTGCAACACGCCCTGGCCCTCCACGTCCACTCGGCCAAAGCCGTGGAGGGTGTCACCACCAGCCGATCCATGACCCTCAACCCGCTCATGAGGCACACGCAGCACCTCCTCTCACTCCTCGGACCTGGTGCAGGTGATTGGCTAGCAGCTCTGCCCCTGATCAGTGCTCTCCGCCTTGCCCCCGCCCGCTACTCCTCGGCCATCTCCTTCCGCCTAGGCCCCCCCCTCTCCCTATCCCTAGGCAATGTGACTGCTTGAAGGGAGTCAAATCCTGGACAGGCGGCTGCCCAACCCAACCACCTGCCACGCTGTGGGACGGGGAAAGGGAAGACAAGCTCCCACCACGGCCTGTGGAACGAATGTGCTCGAATAGCCAAGGAAGCATCCGGTTCTCCTTTCACGTGGAGGCGGCAATGTACTCGCCGGTTGAGATCCTATTTGCGAGTGTGAGTGTCTCCATCCGCGATCCCAACGCCGGCCAGATATAGCCCTGAGACGTCACTGTCACTGTCACGAACCCTATCTCCCGCTGCCACACACATGCGCGGAAAGGCACGCGGTGGGCTGCCCGGGTAACCGCATCCAAGTATGCCGTCAGGAATGACTGGGTGGGGTTCATCCCTATGGCAGTGGCGACATACGGCTGCACCTCACCGGGCGTGTTTGAATTCCTGAGACGGCGTGCCAACCCCGCCGCCAACCTACCTTCCATTCAATCCCCCCCCTACCTCATCCGAAGCTGCAAAGCTGTTCCATGAGTATCGGCAGCAGTGGAGCATCACCTTGTAGCGAGGCCAGGCCCATGCCCTCAACCAGAAGACCAACACCGCCATGGCGGCGGATGCAGGCGGGCCAGGATAGAGGACGCCATCGCCCCCCTAGACACAGGATACCTGTTTTCAGCTTCTAGAGCCCCCGCTTGGTCCCCTTGAGGACCAGGCGGGTGGCATGTATGCATGCTGATTATTCATACAAAGGACCATTCGAGTCAGGAAGTAATAACAAAGTTGGAGCATTCAGTGCTGCGCTGTAAATGCGACCAGAAGAGAGAAGAGGAAGGGCCATGACTGGCTGACGTGGTATCTGGGGATGGGGAAGAGAAGGGTAGTGCTTGTGCTGTAAGGGAGGAGGGGAAGGAATGAGGAGGGAAGGAGGAGGGAAAGAGGAGGGAAGGAGGAGGGAGGGAGGTTGGGGAGCGGAGGGAAGTAAGAACAAGAGGTGGGGCGGGGTTGGAGAGGGCGGTGCTTGAGCGGTGAATAGCATGAGAGGAGCGGAAGGAATGGCGATGAATGGCCATGAATGGCCATGAATGGCGATGAATGGCCATGAATGGCCATGAATGGCGATGAATGGCCATGAATGGCCATGAATGGCGATGAATGGCCATGAATGGCCATGAATGGCGATGAATGGCCATGAATGGCGATGAATGGCGATGAATGGCCATGAATGGCCATGAATGGCGATGAATGGCGATGAATGGCCATGAATGGCGATGAATGGCGATGAATGGCGATGAATGGCGATGAATGGCCATGAATGGCCATGAATGGCGATGAATGGCGATGAATGGCGATGAATGGCGATGAATGGCGATGAATGGCGATGAATGGCCATGAATGGCCATGAATGGCGATGAATGGCGATGAATGGCGATGAATGGCGATGAATGGCAATGAATGGCGATGAATGGCGATGAATGGCGATGAATGGCGATGAATGGCGATGAATGGCGATGAATGGCGAGGAATGGCGATGAATGGCGATGAATGGCGATGAATGGCGATGAATGGCTGGTGGTAACCGATGAGAAGGAGGATGGGGGGGAGAAGGGAAAGTGAAGACGGGCGGAGTGCGGTGTATGTGAGCACACGGAGTGCGGTGTATGTGAGCACACGGAGTGCGGTGTATGTGAGCACACGGAGTGCGGTGTATGTGAGCACACGGAGTGCGGTGTATGTGAGCACACGGAGTGCGGTGTATGTGAGCACACGGAGTGCGGTGTATGTGAGCACACGGAGTGCGGTGTATGTGAGCACACGGAGTGCGGTGTATGTGAGCACACGGAGTGCGGTGTATGTGAGCACACGGAGTGCGGTGTATGTGAGCACACGGAGTGCGGTGTATGTGAGCACACGGAGTGCGGTGTATGTGAGCACACGGAGTGCGGTGTATGTGAGCACACGGAGTGCGGTGTATGTGAGCACACGGAGTGCGGTGTATGTGAGCACACGGAGTGCGGTGTATGTGAGCACACGGAGTGCGGTGTATGTGAGCACACGGAGTGCGGTGTATGTGAGCACACGGAGTGCGGTGTATGTGAGCACACGGAGTGCGGTGTATGTGAGCACACGGAGTGCGGTGTATGTGAGCACACGGAGTGCGGTGTATGTGAGCACACGGAGTGCGGTGTATGTGAGCACACGGAGTGCGGTGTATGTGAGCACACGGAGTGCGGTGTATGTGAGCACACGGAGTGCGGTGTATGTGAGCACACGGAGTGCGGTGTATGTGAGCACACGGAGTGCGGTGTATGTGAGCACACGGAGTGCGGTGTATGTGAGCACACGGAGTGCGGTGTATGTGAGCACACGGAGTGCGGTGTATGTGAGCACACGGAGTGCGGTGTATGTGAGCACACGGAGTGCGGTGTATGTGAGCACACGGAGTGCGGTGTATGTGAGCACACGGAGAGGTGGGAAGCGCCATGGCTGGTTGGCGTGATACTTGAGTTGAGGGAGGGGGGAAATGGGGAAGGAGAGGCAAGAGGACAGAAACAAAGAAACACAATCAGGGTGCGCACTTGAGAGATCGCCGTGGCCACATGGGGCGAGTGGTACAGTTGTCACCGGTACAATTGTCTTGTGCAAACACCCTCGAGGGACGATCAAAAGAAGGCATGAGCATCAAACAGAAGCCAGAGAGTAGTCTTTTACTTGCTGGCTGACACGACCGGTACTAGTTTGGTTAGGGCCGGTTCGGCCGAGTTGAGTATTTGTGTTCCCGAGCCGCATCAAACTGACCAGGTTGGACGCTTCCTCTGGGCACCTCCCGAACCAGAACTGGTTCAACCCGAACCAAGTGGGAAAGTCGGTTTAACGCGGCAGCGGTTCCACCAATCCGGTCGACCCGAACCGGCACTGGATTGGTTGGACTGATTGTGATTTGGTATGTACCCGTGCCTAAATGAAAGGGCCACGACAGGCCATGCTCACACTCACTTGACTCAGTCAGGAATCAGGATTGGCCCTCCAGCCCGCCACACCCTCCCGCTCCTCCTCCCACACGTCACACACCACGGCCATATCAGCAATCTCATCTCATCCGGCCATCCAACACGTTTGTTGACAGCAAGGCAAGAACCAGGCCGTACCTGGCACCTGAGCGTGGCAGTGCACTCACCTGACGGTGTCGGGGTCGACGTGCACGCGTGCCTCCTCCCACACCTCGCGCACCACCGCCATCTCAAGCGCCTCCCCCACCTCCACGAACCCCGCCAGCACTGAGTAGCGGCCCTGTGGCCAGCGCGACTGGGAGGAGGGGGGTGTGGGAAGGGCAGAGGGAGGGGGGAGGGAGGGGAGGGAGAAGGATAAATCGGTTGCGGAGTGGGGAGAGAGAGGGAGGAAGAGGGGGGGTTGGGGGTGGTTAGAAGGAAGGGGCGAGGTCGACCAAGGGAGAACAGGAGCGTAGGGACACTCATCTGCTCGCCTCCCCTCATGTGCGTCCCATCCCATCCCATCCCATCCCATCCCATCCCATGGCAAGTTGCAACCACGTGCACCCATCCGATCCCAACCCTTCTTTCCACCCACGGCACCCACTCTTTGGGCAAGCACGCAGCACGCTGCCTCACCTGCCGGCCCAGCAGCACGTAGTCGCCCCACGAGACACACATGATCACTGCCGGGTCCTGTGTGCCGGGTATAGGGGTGGGATGGCAGGGGAGGAAAGAGGAGGGGAGGGGAGGGGAGGGGAGGGGAAGGGAGGGGAGGGGACGGGAGGGAGGGAAGGTGAAGGGAAGGAGAACGAAGGGGAGAGGGGAATCAAGGCCATCATAACGAGAATGGTAAGATGATACAAAGAAGACCATCAGTGTTGATAAAGATGGGGGAGGCGGCAACGATGGCGGCAATGAGAACGGCAATGGCAGCTCACTCTGGAGAGCCGCTCACTCTGGAGAGCCGCTCACTCTGGAGAGACGCTCACTCTGGAGAGCCGCTCACTCTGGAGAGCCGCCACTCCGCCTTTCCATCTTGGTCGGTTGGCATCGTGGCAGCACGATGCACAGCACGACACGACCCACCCATCAGACGTTCTCTAGGGAGAGTGTGCCTCTCTGCAGCACGAGGCACACACGACTCACGAGGCACACACGACTCACGAGGCACACACGACTCACGAGGCACACACGACTCACGAGGCACACACGACTCACGAGGCACACACGACTCACGAGGCACACACTCACGAGGCGGGGGAAGATGATGGACGAGGAGCACTTGGGCTTCCCACCAGGCAGTGGTGGTGGCGAGAGTGATGAGGGCTGTGCTGTGCCATTGCTATCCGTTGCTGTTACCAGCCCAGCAGCAGCAGCAGGGGCTGGAGGCACGGCGGCAGCAGGCAGGGCAGGAGGGGGGAAGGAGTTGGTGCAGCGCCTGGCGTAGCCCCCCTCTGCTGGGATGAGAGGCGCCGCACACTGCGAACAAAAGCACTGAGGGGGGAAGGAAGAGCAGCGAGAGGGGAGCACAAGGCAAGGGGAGGGCATAAGAGGGGGGGCCGTAAGACGGAAGGGAGTACGAGGCATGCACTAGTTTCCAGGCTCCAGGTTACAGTGGACGCATCCAACCCACTCACATGGCAGCAGTGCCAGTCCAGCACCCAGTGGGCTGTGACTCACACGCCACTCCTCACCAGACTCCACCAAATGGTGCATGTTAGAAAATCCACTCACCTGCCGGCTGTGCCAGTCCATGAGCCCGTTGGCGTATGCCAGCAGCCCCGCATCAAAGGCGGGCAGCGTTGGCCCCTGGGCGCGCAGAGACACCCACTGCGCGCCCTCAGGGGGGGTGTAAGCAGGGAGGGGCGCGGCAGAGGGGTCCTGGGTTGGTGATGGGGGAGACCTGGGAGGGATATTGGGGGGAGGGAGCAGGGCGATGGGTAAGAGGGTGAGAGAGTGCAAGTCGGTGCGAGGCAGCATTGGCCCCTGAGCACGCAGAGGCGCCCACTGGGCGTCCCCCGGGGGGTGGGGGGTGTAGACGGGAAGGGGCGCGCGCGGTAGAGGCGTCTTGGGGAGATGGGGGAGAGCTGGGCCTGGGGGGAAGATGGGGAAGGAACGGAGGGGAGGGAATATGGAAGAAGGGGAAACGGGAGGGGGAAAAGGCGACATGAGAGCGGGTAAGGAAGGAGGTGCGAGAGTGCGAATGAGGGTGTATGGCAGGGGGTGGAAAGCAGCTCTGGCCCCTGGGAGCTCAGAGACTGAAACTGGACGCCCGCGGGGGGGGTGTGGGCAGCAAGAGGCCCGGTAGAGGCGTGCTGGTGTAGTGATGGTACAGCAGGGAAGGAAGGGGGAGGAGCAGGGGGGACATTCACTTGAAGCAGGGCACTGAAGTACACGAGATTGACACAGCCTGGCCCAGAATAGAGCAAATACGATAGGGTAGGATGAGAACGTGGCATCACATTGCAGCGAGTGAATGCGGGCGGCACGCACTCGACAGCAACAGTAAAGGCAGCATGGCCTGACGGCATGAGGAGCCCCAGGAAGCAAAACGGCTCCACTCCTGTGCCCCTTGCACTGGCACTGCTGCTGGCAGCATCCGCGGAACCAGGAGCACCAGGAGCAGCAGCGTCAGCAGCGCCATCAGAGCCAGCAGCAGCAGCAGCGGCAGCGGGCCTAGTGATGGCGGGGTTGATGATGATGTCAGCAGGCGACGCAAGGACCGCCCGGCCATCCTTGATTAACGAGCGACCATGGCTCCATGGGATGACCTGATGGGGCCAGGGATGGGCACGGCATGTGGTACGCGTGAATGGTGATCCTTGCACTCTCTTACGTGAACAACTCATGTGTGCAACAGAGACACCGGCAGCCAACCAACGCGTAGTTCATCACATCCTCACATGCGGGTTCCGTGGATGATGGATTGCCTGCGTACGTAATCCTCGTCAGTGGAACTGGATCATGCGGCATGCCATACCATCGTGCCATGCCAGAACAAACAAACGCCACGTCATGTCATGCTGACATCATCATACATGTGATATCACCGCACCACAACACAACGGGCATGGCATGGCAGAGCATGACGATACACATGTCATGCCGGTCTAGGAGATGCCAGAATGGGTGCGTGGGTTCACAAGTCACGCATTGCATTGCACCCCATGCCTGCCTCATAGCCCTCCCCCAGCCTCATACCACAGTGAATGGTTTCCGGAGAGCCTCTTTGCACCAGTCTGCTCGGTTTCTGTGGTCCCCTTCGGGACTCACATCACACCACACCACACCACCAATCCATACCACGTCATACCACGGTGGTTGGCTTGCCAAGAGCCGCCTTGAGCCAGGCAGAGTCATTCCTGTGCTGCCCGGCGCGGTCCACGCTCACAGACGAGAAGAACATCCTGGGAAGATTCGCCTCCGCTGCTGCCCGCGCTGCTGCTGCCGCCGCCTCTCCCCTTACCCCCTTCGTACCCTCTGCCTCACTGCCCGCTGCCTCTGCTGTGCTCTTTGCTTCCTCTTCCACTCGGCCTGCACTTTCTGTGAAGCTTCCTGCTCTCCCTCCGCTGAAGTTGCTGCTACTTCTGGAAGCGCTGTCTCCAGGTGCTGAGTTAACAGCTCGGATACCGAGTTGCTGAGCTGGCAACTGCACGTCAGCATGAGGTGGAGATGACAGCAGGAATGAGGGGATAAGGTTATTTGTCAGGCATGAGGAGCGAGGGAAGCCAAAAGACAGAGTCACGAGCCGAATGAGGTCAGAATCCGCGCTTTCTGACGTGCCCTTCACGGCAGATGCCGTCACAGACCACAGAAGCCGTCATGTGGTACAAACACGGTCCGAGAGTTTGAGAATTAGTATCTGATTGAAAGCGATAGAGTATCAAAATCCGACGTCAGGGTGACGTCAGGGTCTTACCCTCCTGCCAGCCGGAGGGGAAAAGGGCGGCCGACGATCGACGGAGCGCAGCGATCGATCTGCGCGACTGGAAAAGGTGATCGCTGCTGCTGAACTGCCACTACTGCGCGCACGGCGGGATAAAGGTAGCGAGTTCGACGAGATGCTTGTAACGCGGATATTCTGCCGAGCGTCGGTGTAAGGACCGCGCGGAGACGTGGACGGAGAAAGTGATGCTAGAGGGTTGCGTGAGGGCACGTGGTGTGTGCGGATTTGGGAGGAGGATGCAGTGAATGTGGACACTCGAGCGGCGGCGAGTTGGCGCGCGACGGCCGAGGTGGACGATAGAGCCATAGGGGCGACGAAATGGGAGGTTGAAAATGGCGTCAAGCCATGTCTGTGCCGTTGTGCGCCGCGATCAGCCGGGGTGCTGCTCAGGAGGTGGAGGTTGGGAAAGCATACGCGAAAGTGATAGCTCGTTACGGATAAGAACGACATAAACTTCTATTTTGTGTAAGTGCGTTTCACATATATTGTTCGTTCGGAAAGTTGAATCACGGAAACTGTTACGAGTGCAATTGAGTGATCGAGCGAGAATTGCACTATCGAAGCAAGAGTACAACGAGCGAAGGCATGAGCGAAGAATATATAGCAAAACTACAGTGGTAACGGTAATGGACTGTGGTTGTCGCGCGACGGGCCCGGGACTGAGGTTTGGGGAAATGTCGAAGCGGAGGCCCGGAGCGCGGGTTACCCGCCGAGCCGTGAGGTCAGGGTGCGATGTGCGAAGGTGGCGGGAGGATTCTCGATGCGAGGGATGCGAGTGGTAACGGTGCCGATTGTGGTGCTACAGTGGTGTACGCGCTGAGCGGGGACGCGAAGTAAGGAAAAGGGATTTTCCTTACACTACCCCCCCCCTAAGGAGGTCCTCCTTACAAAAGCGCGTGTACATCCCTGAAGTTTCGGCTGCGCAGATACTCTGTGAGGACGGGGTGGTTTTCGACTCTGTCCAGGAAAACCCAGTTGTCTTCAGTGGGTGTACGGTCTTTCCACTCGGTGGCTCAGAATTTTCGCGGGCGTGATGATTGGCTCAGTCGGCGGTCGTGTCATGCTGGATGGGCGGTTGTGAGGCAATTGGCTGGTGGATGGGACGTAAGGGCGAAGCAGGCTGACGTGGAATGAGGGGGTGACGTACCAGTCCGCCGGGAGGAAGAGGTGGGCGGTGATGGGCGTAATCATGTGGCTTATGCGAAATGGCCCGCAATATCGGGGGCAGAGCTTTGGGGTGATGGGCAGGCGAAGGTTCTGAGTGTCGAGTAAAACTAGGTTGTCACGCTGGTAAGTGACAAGTCGGCGGTGGCGATCGGCGTTCCGTTTAGCGATGACGTTGGCCTTTTTAATTGTGTTGGCTGCTCCGGTCCGTGCTGCTTGCAAAATTTCGGCGAATTGATGTGCGCGAGGTACCGGGTTGTCGGGATTCGGGGTCATGGGTACTGTCGGGTCTTGTCCGTAGTTAAGGTAAAACGATGACTGTTGGGTCGTGGCGGATGGTGAGTTGTTGTATGCGAACTCTATGAGTGGCAGCTGTTGTTCCCAGGTGGTTGGGTCGTCACACGTGGCTCGGATGAGTTGCTCCATACTCTGATTTGTCCGTTCTGTTTGTCCGTCGGTTTCGGGGTGGTACGAAGAACTGAATTGTAGTCGCGTGCCGAACTGCTGCCACAGGTTTCGCCAGAAGTTGCTGGTGAATTTCGTGTCGCAGTCGCTGATGATCGCTGATCGTATCCCGTGCAGTCGAACGACGGTGGAGATGAAGAGTCGAGCTGTTTCTTCGGCTGTGATCGATTTTTTGCAGGCTGCGAAATGTGCCATTTTTGTCTGTCGATCGACGACGATCAGGATCGCGTCGTTCCCACTCGTCCCGGCCGGTAACCCCGTGACGAAGTCCATCGTCACCTGCTGCCAAGCACGCTCTGGGGGTGGTATCGGCTGCAATTGTCCTGCCGGCCGCTTCCGTGATGGTTTCATGAGCTGGCAAGTGGGACACGATGCCACGTGTCGTTGTACGTCGGTCAACATCTCGGGCCAGTAATAATACCGCTGCAGCTGCTGCCGTGTTTTCTTTACCCCGAAATGCTCCGAGGTAACTCCGTCGTGTGCCTCCTGTAACAGTAATTCCTGTAGCAGTGTATACCCGGGCACCCAGATGCGGTCGGTCCCGGCTTTTACGTAATAGACTCCCCTTGCTGTTGCGAACTCCTGCGAATTTCCTCCTGTGAAGAATGGATCTGTTTGGTACCCGTGGGTAAATAGGCCTATCAGTAGGGGGCTGGTTTGGGCGAGTAGTATTGCATGGATCTGGGCAGTGAGGCGGGTCAGTGCGTCGGCGATGTTCGAGGCTCCCTTTTTGTAGGTGACCGTGTAGTGAAAATTGGACTCGAGAAAATCGAGCCAGCGAATCTGTCGTGGGTTGAGGTGGGGCTGTGCGCGGAGGTACTGTAGTGATTTATGGTCTGTCCGTACTGTCACGTCTACGCTGGTCAAGTAACAGCGCCACACTTTGAACGCGTGCACGATCGCAAGCATTTCGCGGTCGTGTATCGGTTAATTTTTCTCGGTCGGATGCAGTTTTCGTGACTCGTATGCGATGGGCTGTAGGCCGTTGCCGAAGTCCTATAGCAGTATGGCTACGATGGCGATGTCGCTTGCATCGGTAATTACTTCGAATGGGCGGTGTGGGTCGGCGATGCGCAGGACGGGCGGTGAACAGAGAACATTTTTCAGGGCAGAGAAGGTAGCATGCTCTTTCTCCCCCCACGTAAAAGCGACCCCCTTCCGTAATAAGTCTGTCAGTGGTGCTGTCAATCGTGCCATGTCGGGGACGAACCGACGCACGTAATTGACGAACCCCAAAAAGCTCTGAAGTTCCGCGATACTCGTCGGGGGGTGCCAGGCTTTCACCGTGTCTAACTTCTTCGGGTCAATTTCGACCTCAGCCTCCGAAATAACGTGCCCCAAAAACTCTAGCGTGTCTCGAGAAAACTCGCACTTGGAACCCTTGGTCAGTAGCCGATGCTCGTCTAAAATCTGAAACTTTGCATCCAGACCTGCTGAGTGCTGCTGCTTGTCGCAACTGTAGACGAGGATGTCGTCGATGTAAACTATCACACATTTATCTAACAGTGGCCTAAACGCCTCTTTCATGGTCATCTATGTCAGATTTATATGACTTAGCTGCTGTAGGCTATAGTGGGGTAGCACATATGGGGTACAGCTTTCTAGGGTTTGTACTTGTACCCAAATTTCCCTTAGTCTATTCATTCTCGTTCAATTCCACATGGTATAGAGCAGGTTCCCTTGTGGGAACTGTTCCTAGGGCCCACCGATTTTTTTTTTTCCTGCCCGGAGCGCGCTCAGCCTCTGCCCGAGTCGCGCTCCCCTCTCACGACCCCATCGAGACGCCCTTGCGACCCCGTCGCGCCGCCCTCGCGGCCCCATCACGTCGCGCCGCCCTCGCGGCCTCGTCGCGCCGCCCACGCGGCCCCGTTCCACCGCCCTCGCGGCCCCGTCGCGTCGCGCCGCCCTTGCGGCCCTTTCGCGCCGCCCTCGCGGCCCTTTCGCGCCGCCCTAGCGACCCCTCCACGCCGCCCTCGCGGCCCCGTCACCTACCCTTGTGGCCCCGGCGCCGCTCTTCCGGCCCCGGCGCCGCCTCTGCTAGCCCCGTCGCCCCACCCTTGCGACCCCGCGGCCCCACCCTTAAGGCGCCGGTCGCCACCCTTCGTGGCCCCGCCGCCGCCCTCATCGGCCTCGTCGCCGCCCCACCCGGCCCCGCCGCCGTCCCTTCAGCGGCCCTGCCACCCTACGCGGCCCCGCCGTCACCACCGAGCCGCCGGCGCCGCTGAGCCGCCGTTGCCGCTGTGCTGCCGAGCCGCCCGAGCCACCCGAGCCGCCCGAGCCGCCGAGCCACCGCTACTGCCGAGCCGCCCGAGCCACCCGAGCCGCCCGAGCCGCCGAGCCGCCGCTGCTGCCGAGCCACCCGAGCTGCCCGAGCCGCCGAGCCGCCGAGCTGCAGTTGCTGTCGAGCCGCCGAACCACCGAACCGCCCGAGCCGCCCTGTCCGGTAAGAGCGGCACCTCTATCACTGTGCTGCCCTTAGCCTACTGCTCGCTCTAATAGTCTACTACTGTCATGGCTAGCCCCAGCGTCCTCGCTTTTGACGCTGAGGGTCGGGCCATTGACTTTGACGTCTGGGTAGATGGCCTGCAGCTTTTCCTACAATGCGATAGGGCAGACGGTCTCTCCCTCTTTGACCTCAATTCTGGTGCCTCTCCTGCCCCTGCTGCTGATGCTGACGCCACTGTTTGCTCACAGTGGGCCACACGCGATGCTGCTGCACGTCTTGCTCTGCGTCGCCACTTGCCTACCTCTGAGCGTGCACACTTTAGCCAGTACAAGAGTGCTACGACCTTGTACGACGCTGTAGTTGCACGCTACTCTTCCCCTGCCACTGCTGCACTTAGCCGCCTCATCCTGCCGTACCTCTTCCCTGACCTCGCTGCTTTTCGCACAGTCGCTGACCTCATTACGCACCTTCGCACTAGTGACATTCGCTACCGCGCTGCCCTTCCCGCTGAGTTCTGCGCCAAGAACCCCCCCCCTATGTACATCACCCTCTACTACATAGTCACCCGGCTCCCTGACACCCTTCGCCCGGTCAGGGACCACTTCCTCTCTGTTTGCCCCACCACCCTCACCGTTGACCTCCTCGAGGAGCGCCTCCTAGCAGCAGAGAAGAGCATAGTCGCTTTAGGAGCCTCTCGTGGTGACCCTCGTGCCCCACTCTTTGAGGGGTGCTCCCCCTCTCCTCTCTTGCCCTCTGTTGCCTCTGCTGCTGCGGCCGACCTCGTTGGTCTTGAGTCGGTCGGTGCGGCGTCTGCCCCTAGCGGGAGACGCCGCACTGGCAAAGGCAAGGGGGGCAGGGGCGCTGGAGGAGCTAGCGGGGGCGGTGGAGGCGGCGTTGGAGGCGGCAGAGGGGGTGGGGGTGGCGGTGGGGGTGGTGGCGGGGGTGGGGGCGTCGGTGGCGGCAGTGGAGGCGGAGGCGGCGGCGGCGGTGGCGGTGGGAGCGGAGGTGGCGGAGGTGGCGGCGGTGGAGTTCGCGGCGGTGGAGGAGGCGGCGGCGGAGGAGGTGGAGCTGGTCTGGGTGGCGCTGCGCAGAGGGTCGGCTCCACTGGTGGTCAGCGCCAGCAGCAGCAGCACCAGCAGCGTACTCGTGAGATCCCCCTCCCTCAGCAGCTTTGTGAGTGGTACGCTGCACGCCAGCGCGGTGGGGGTACTGGTCCGTGCACCTATGTCCT